GAAAGAGTGAGTTAGAGATTGATTATACATGTCAATTTCGAATGTCATCTTGCTATTGGTAAATTAGGATGGATTCACAAGTTAAACTACCTAATCTATGCCGAATTTTTTAAATACGTAATTATAGTCACTTAATAAATAAAAATCATTTATTTAATTATATAACTTTAACGTTAACGTGTTATTTAAAATTAATTATTTAACATTAACGTGTTAATGTCAAAAGAATAGTAATGAAATTCTATTTAAATAATAAATATGTTAAAGAATAATTTCAAAGAAGAATTTCAAATATAATTAAATATTTAGATACATTGTGTTTCTATTGTAATAATTAAATGCAAATTTTATTACAAGTTGCATTTATAAATTCAATCCGTTAACCGTAAAAAAAAATCCAATCCATTAATGCCCTTTTTTAACTATGACCTTCAAAGTTTAATTTTGATATGTAAATAAAAAACTATTGTCAAATATTTGGAAAATTTTATTTAAGAATTTACTCTATATTATTGATTAAAATAACATTGTCAAGAATGGTCATCTAGCATCGTAATTTTTTTATATATATTTTGAAATAAATTAAAAAAATTTAATATAAATCCTCATATTCAAATATTACACGTTGTATTGCATAAAGTCAATGAATAAATATAACATCATATTTAATTATTCAAAATAAGTTTTATTTTCAAATATCCTCCTTCCTGTAAAATAATCTTGCTTCATTTATTCATTTTTTACTCCAAAAAATTTATTTTATTTTTCCTCTTTAGTGATATTACGATATTATCCCATCCCTAGTGTAGTTATATACAATTTTTATTTTTTTAATTATTATCTACAATCATGAGATATCCTTAGAATTTATTTTTTTTACAAATACTTTTCTTAATCTTAATATATTTATACTTGTTTGTATTTGTGTTTAATTTTTATCTCCATTTTTAAACAATTCTATAGAGTTATATTTATCATTTTGTCGTGTTCAACTTTTTTAGTCATACCATATCAAATAAATTCAATATATTCAAAATAGTAAATGATCTAATGAAAGTATTAATATAAAGATTCTGCTTCGTGATTTAAAGATTAAAAAAATCATGAATCTGAATTCCTTCTGTATTTTACTTTCAAAATAGTAAATATATATAAGTAAATAATCTAATTTCTATATTTTACTTCCAAAATAATCTATACCTATTTATAGATTAAAAAAATCATAAAAAATATGCTCGCATGTTATATATTTCATTACATGTATTTTACAGAAACAAAATTCTAGTTAAACTTTATAATAAAAAAAAAAACATAAATTTACCACATTATAGAATTTTATTTAATTTTAGCTTAATTTCTTCATGCAATGCACGATATTATAGTAGTGTACATTAACAAGCTTATCCAGTTGTCCGAGGATTCAAAAAATAAACAGAAGAGTTAAATTGATTCATGGTCAACGAATCAAGATTAAACTATTAAAAAACAATAGAATAAAAAATTCCATCTAAATGTTAAAAGGCTAAAATAAAACTGTCGAAATAATTTCATATCATAAACAAATAAAAAAAATGAGTTGCACTTACTTCAGTCATCCCACATTTTGTGGTAAAAGAATGTTTAATTCTCCTGACATGGTTCACATAATGGTTTTTGCTTCCAGAGTTTCGTTCATGATATTGAAAGTAATAGAATGGTAGGTTATCAATAAAATATGATTGTATAATTACTAATAAGAATAAAAGTGGTGCTTAACAAACTAACCATGTATTAATACGTATATTATGCTAGGACATATTAGTGGGTTTTTCAACTTCCCACATTACTTGCTACATAAAAAAATCTTCTAAAGTTCAGGCTCTATTTTTTGTCATTGGTTCGTTCCAAAGAGATCAGAAGATTAGTCGTATTGTGTTCCAATGATCCCAGCTGCTTGAAATAGCACGTAATTGATTATGTTGGACGCATATTAGATCACAGTTTTCATGCCAAGACTTCAAAAGCAGCAAGAGTGAGAAATACAACAGAATACTTTAATCACTTGATGAAATCAGCTAACAAGAGTGAGAAATGCGAAGCCTAAATGTTATACAAGAACTTTACAACAGAGAATCAGTTATTATCCTATACATTGTCCTTCGCAAAGCTACCACATCTACTTGTCCTTGTATAGCCACCCATTGTCACAAGACCACTGAGAGTGTTAGATTAGATTATCAGATGCCAGGCTCCCAGTGACCAAGGGTAGTTTCTAAATTAGTACTGTTTCCTAATCAAATCCAATTGTACATTCTTTCTGCTCTTTAACCCAATCCTTAGTCACTTACAAATTCTACACAACCTACTCAGTTCTGCCTCATTCATGAAAAGATACAACTACTGCTACAAATATTTACACAACTGATATGGTGTCACACCAAACCAAGCCACCCGCAATCCATCCTCCACTAAACAAGCTCGCAAAGACGGCTAGCCAGCAATTCTTTACTCTTGGAAAAACAACCACTTGAAATTATTTAGCCAGTTCATATTTAGGCACTACCTGTCTCATCTGATGATCTTCCAGCAGGACATATTCTGCCAACCTGAATATCATCTTCACTGAACATGCTCTCTTCACTAGAATTGGAGAATGGACCAACATCCTCATCCGATTGCGAGCCAGCTTTTTGTCTCCTCCTGACATCCTTCACTGCTCTTCCCTGAAGAGCAAGGCGCCTGCGCTTTCGAGCTTTACGTTTGCCTTTAGGGTACTCTTCTTTTTGCAACTCAAAGTTCTTCACTTCAACCTCTTTTGCACTTCTTCCCTTGCCATATCCATTATCATCAGATTCTTCAGCATCCAACTTACGCCTTTTCCTATTAGAATTTGTCTGAAACATTGACTCACTTTTAGATTGAAAGCTGTCTAGACAGTACATATAGCAGCAATGTCACAGAAAGTAAGCGAAGATAAAAGCAGGTCATCTTGCAACTTGTAAGGAAAGACTAAATGAATAAAAATTGCTTTAAATATTTTTAATCCATCCAAATATAAAATTTAGTTTGTCATTCAAAAATTATTGGTTTTGATGAGAAATAAAACTATTTTTTTAAATAGCCCCGATCATCATTTAATAATTATGTGAATTACATCTAGACATGTTACACATGTATATCACATCATATCAGTAAATTGCAATAGGGACTACTTTCTAAACTTTTAACTTCAAAACCCAGAAAAAATAAATTACAAGAAATAAAATCAAAATTCACTATATTTTTGTGAGGTCAACTGGACTACAAGGTACTGAATCCCATAATGTTGGAAATGTCAAATAGGTTTAAATTCTATCTCATAGATACTAGGACTTTGGATAGGATTAATGTTATATTTATAGTGATAAAACAAATTTAATTTCCTATTTTGGGGGGCATGTAGATTGCCATATCCCTGATTTTCATCTTCTCACTTCTGTAACAGGAGTTTGTATTCTACTTTTCTGTATCGCTTGAAAAATACAAATTATTCTCTTCAAAATAATAGCAATATGTCAGAGGACTTGTATTCTACTTCTCTCATTTGGTTCAAAGGATAGAAGGGGGTGGGGGGGAAGAGATGGAGGGAAAGGACAGTATTAATTCAAAGGAGAGAAGGGGAGGGAAAGGATAGTTAATACTTTGTTTCATGTAGATTCCCATACGTATAAATTATATAAGAACAAGAAAAATCTTGGATTACTTTTTGAAAAAAAAAGTAGAATTCCATTTTTTTGGAGTAAAAAGACTATTCCAATTACAATAGTAATAAAAAACAACCTTAATAAATGAAAGAAAGAGACATCTTTTATCCAATATCGAAGGATTTGAACCAAGATTTTCAGATGGATAGGATAGGGTATTCGTATATCTGACTCATGATTTAAATATATAAATTTATCTTCTAAAAAGGGAAAAATAGAATGAATTGATTGCAAATTATTATAAGATTTTACGATTTCTAACTCCTTTAAGGAAGAGATAAATAAATGTAGGGAGAATAGAATCTCC